ACTTTCATTCAGATGCAATCGATCTGGACTATGAACCAGACAACGAACTTGATATTACCAGTTCGGAACTTCCGAAGGCACACTCACAGCGATCCCCTGAGCATACTGAACTACCGCCTGCAGCCGTTGTTGAGGTCAGTGTTTATTTTCGAATCTTACTCGATTGTTTGATTGGTTGTTGAATTCGTGTTAAATGAATGTTTTGCACTAGTGCTGTTTCGGGTGCTCTACTATGCCAATTCATGTCATGCCACCTAGTTTCAAAGGGGAAGAAGGAGTACACTTAGGATTGGGATAATGCTTCAGCCTAGGTTGACCCGTGAATCATGCCCCGTACGCCCCGAAACAGCGCTAGTACCGAATGATTCGCAAGATGTCAGATACGACAATTTATCTGAAATCAATGCGTGCCATTTTCGATGCTGTTCGAGAACGAGCCGTTGAACTCCAGATAAAGTCGTGAATTTTGTACCTAAATACGATGAGTTCAAAATTTTGTCAAAGCATGAACACGGCGAAGGCAATTCAAATTCGTATTTGCTATTTGAATTTTATGACAGAGGAGCTCAATGGCCGTTCAACATATGTGCTACCCTTGATAATTGTCTCGTTTTCATTCGCAATTAGCGACGTATTGCGTTATTATTGAGCATCTATATGAACGACGATATTAAAAGCGCATAAGAGAGCGAAATGATTCCGCATAAATGAATCTAATTAAGCACCAACTGGACAACTAATTAAGTTAATTGGAAACATTGCCCTTTGCACATATTCCTACATGTTTCACTCTTTCATCTGTTGTTTCATGCAGTCTTGTCGCATCTCGAACATCATTTCTCTTCTCTAATGCAGAGTTCCATTTGAGCGTTTGGCTGATTAAAATATGGCTTAGGTACAGTAGTGCTGCTGATAGCAAATTTTCGTTGCTTAGCTTCTTATCTGTGTCTAGTGTCTTTTCGATAATTAGTTTCCTCCTCGCAATCATTATTTATTCCCTCCCGTGTTTATTGGATCCGTTTGCATGATTGACTTTGATTTGTCATGCATTCGCGCGTCTCTAATAGACAAGAAATGGAGTTTTTATTCCGAGACTGAATCGTGAGTTTCGAAATGAAGCGAACATCATTGATTGAGAATTGATCGGCCTTGGTAGGAGTTTATGTTNTGTGTGTGTGTTTGTGTGCGGTATGCATGAAGTGAGAAGTGTATGTGTATGTGAAAAATGAACGTTGTCGTTCACCATTCGTGTCAACAATCATTAAATTGCTTTTTTATATCCATGCATCCGTCCATCGATCCATCGTTCATGCTCGATCCTGTCTCATCGAAGCGAATCATGCCAAGCATCGTTTCCGAATTGTTGTTTGAATGAGTCATCAAGGCGCATTGTGACATTCATTTTCGATTGAGATAGGCTGAAAATATTTAATTTGTTCCAAACGAACAAAATTCCTTATCGATCTCAACGAACGCTAAATGACTGTTTATTTCCTTCCGACAAGTGCTTTACAGTTTTGTTTTATGGTCCAACTGAATGCTTTTATGTCACTTTTTGTTATCCTAGCATGAAATTTATTGTCCCATTCATTTTAGTCGAGTTTTTAACTTTTTTTTTTCGCAAAGCATTGATCGTTGCGAAAATTTGTCGTTCACGATTTTATCAGTTCTTAGGCTACAAACTAAAGTGTCAGTAATCAATCAAATCATTGCAGTGGATGATGACACTGTTGCAAAACTTTGAGATTGGGTTTTTTTGTGCTGGACGATGGATACTTTCTATTTGATTGATCTGAGTACGACGAGTAGGAGTCCTAGAAAGTGAGTGTTTATGCAGTGAACAGATGAAAACAACTATGCACAAATGTGAAAAAAACTCAGCTTTGATGATTGCTTCTTTTATGAGCTGCTGTGCAGTTGAAATCAGTATTTTTGTCTCTAAACTCAAAAATAAACCCAAAAACAAAAACTAGAAAAACGTCCCCTGAACAAGTGATCTTCTGCGTGAAAGTAATTTGAATAATTATGATTTGAGAGAGAGCATGCTCTATTATCTACGTTGGTCTTGTTGCTGTTGTTGTGTTGTGTTGTTGATTTAGGTATTATGAAATCCTGTTTGATAGTGTGCTTCTTCATAGAGGAGGGAGGTATTCGAAGCTTTATGGTTGTTACCATTATTACAATTGAAATGAACAATCGGTAACATGATGAAATTTTAGTAACTATGGTTATGAGCGCGTATAATATTTACATGTACACATACTAATGATATGGGAATATATTGTACGGCACATAATTGAGACTATTTTGACATGCATGATGCATTCAGTCGTCATTCGTTGAGTTGTTCAATCAAATAATGTCTTTTTCGAATGAAAATGACAGTGTTTGAATGAAAATGTAATAATAACGATGATGATAATAATATATGCAATAGTAATAATAGCGATGCATGTGTTTGTTTGTGCTCGAAGAAGATGACATCAAAGAAAATGAAATCAGATTGTTTGTAGAATTGTAAATGCTGCATGTGCAGGTGTTATGTCATTGAATTGAATTAGGCACCTAAATTTGTGTCATTGCAATGGAAATATTGCCGTGATATGTATTAATATTTATAATATAATAGTTGTATTATGTGTGATAAGTTTCGTAATCATATGATAAGTTTTTGAAGCAAACGAATGAAATTATTTAGCATCAACTAGCAAATGTAAAATGCATCATTTATTAGTTCCGCAATACGATGACTCTTTTGTATTTGAGAAAATAGTGACTATGCCGTATTAGGAATGACCGGTAATATAGGCAGATATATCTGTATTGAAATAATTGCCTCCTACTTGCTCAGCATCGAAGTTAAATTTTCTTCCGAGATTTGAACCTCGAAATGCGGATATTTTTCTTGAACGAGACCATTTTGCGTATCCTGCCTCGCTTCCCTCACCTCCTCGCAGAAGAATGCTGGCTTTGCTAATGAATAATTGACAATGGAGCGCAATGATGCTCGTGTGTGCAAGCGGGGAACTCTTGTTGAAGTATGAGCATGAGCGGGACATGGCCACAAAATTATTTATTCTTACATGTACTTGTATATGCTCATATGCATACAAACTCTACTGTTTATCAGCACCTTTGTTATCGTCATCGTACTATATAAATGCATTCTTGTAGTTGGAATTTAGTTGTGTTGTATTAACTTTTTGTTTGGTTTAGTTGAGTGAGTGTAGCTTATTTGTTTTCATTTGATTTGTTCACTGTCATTCTCTGATTCTTGATAAGGCACCCGAAATCATCAAGTTGTATGCGAACTTAATAGGTGGATAGATGAATGCATAACTGCAGTTACATCGGAGTTTGAGTCACGTATCAGTTTAGTATTATTCTAAAAATTTTCGTTTTATTTATTCTGTAGTCTTGGCTGTTCACGTTCTTGTCCCCCATCCCCGTAGCATCGTAATCCTCATAGTGAATCTAATCTAATGACCTGTAATTATCTATTTGACATCACAATGCGTCAGGAGATCAGTGATCCTTTTTTTTTNTTTTTTTTGGTTCTCTTTTTTATGTATTCCCTTTCAATACGTTTCAATTTTCTTCGGTACGACTGTCATTTTGGATTTTCGATGACGATTGATTTCGTTATATTATTTGTTGATGAAATTGTTATGTGCGTGTGTGTATATTTTATGCACATTCATAACGTCAACACGAACAGATTGCAATGCATCAACAGCCCAGAGCATCACATTAGAAACGTGAAACGTATATGAATGCATGAATGAGTGTACGGTTTGAATCTGAATTTTTGTATGAGCATCAATTTTTTCATGATCAAATTTTTTTGCTGTTTGCATGAAAAAGTCATTCAACCAAAATTGTGATTATTCATTTCATCATTCATCTTCATCTTTCTATGAAATGAATGCATTCTGTGTACACATTTATGAATGTGTATATGAGTGCATTATAGTCGTTTATTCTTTTATAGGTTTTGTGAAATTGTAAATTATTATGGAATCAGAAAAATACATTATATTTTAGGGTTGGAGATGGATAGATAGATAGATAGATGCATTTGCATGAATTAGTAGTTAGAGCATACATAAAATTGTATGGACGGACGGACACATGAGGTTTGTTCACATGAAAGCAAACAATATTGAAAGGTGCAACAGAATCATGAATATCAATTTTGCGGATTGAGCGATGGGCCATGAATAGCAAGTACTCATTATCACTGGCAGGCGTAAGAGCAAAGCAATTCAGTGAATCGCTCCATTGATGTATATGTCACTTTCATTCAATTAATAGGTAGAGCAGTCATAGATTAAATGTTGAATGAACAATGTACATAAACGCTGGTAAGGTAGGACAGGTAATATAGTATAATAAGTAGGTAGTGAATGCGATACTTATAAGTGTGCTGATTTGGTTGGACTTTTTTGTTTGATTGTTGGTGTTGATGGGTGGTATTTAAGTGGCATAGGACAGCGCAGATGAAGTAGACAAATAGATTACAGGTATATCGGGTAGAGAGGAAAGAGGTAAGGTAGTTGGACGGTTGATGGATGGTGAATTATATTCTGAATTGGAGTTGTTATTGGAGTGAGTGGTTGATTGAAGGATGAATGAATAGAAGCGAGAATGGGTAATATGGTACATTAATGTGCATAATGTATGTAGTCAATTTCATTTCATTTTATTAGATTGAATGTTGAATGTTGACGGATAGATGGATAGATACTACTGGGTAAGGTATGTTTAAATGAATATATTATAGGTTGAGATCTTTTCGGTAGTATAGAAGTAGTGATGTGGTAGGGTTAAGAAGGGGTATTGGATGTTGTTTTGCTGTGATGCGATAGGATAGGTTTTGCTTGGATGATTATTGCATAATTGCTGAGTATTTATCTATTTATTCGCATGTAAATTCACCTGGTGCAATTTGGATTGAACTTGAATTCAGTGAATTGAATGAATCGAGTGGGGTGAAGTGAATAAATGGCTGGTGACTAGGGTTGAGATGACGAGTAGGCCGGAGGTCGGCCATGAAACTCGTCCATATTTTTGCCATTTGCCATCGATCTTTCCGTCCCTCGGCTCTCCTCTCTGCCTGACTTGCATGAAATCGTCTCTGCATGTGTCGTCTGTCTTTCCGTGAATGTATGTGTGTGTTTATGTGAATGTTTCACAGAATGATGGTAGATGGATGCATTATTTTGCAACCCATTTGAAGTGTAATTAAAATTGTTGAGAAACGAATTGATAATAGTGATGATGGTGACGAAACTGAAGAGAATGGTTAGTAATAAAAGTGGTAGTAATAAAAATTATTATTATTATTNGTTCCCAAATAGAAATTTTACTGCCACGTACGGTCTCAAGAAATCTAAGTTTACATTATTCATTGAGTGCAAATTGATGAAACTGTGTGATCAAGTTGTTCTGATTGAAATTTTGAAAATTGGAAAGATGCGGTGATATTTTTTATGTAACGGACTAGTTATGATTGAATGGCTGGAGTGTGCGTGTGTCAATATTGGTTTATGAAAGTTCGTTGGTGATATTACTGTTGGTAAGGAGCACATATGGTGTTTGGCATATCATAAGACATTTATAATATGTACAAGCAAGTAAAAGCTTTGCATATGATTTGATTATTCAGTGTGTGTACATTTGCAATGTGTTTGAAGAGATGAAGAAGATTAATAACAGCAATAAATAATGATAATATTCAATAGGACAGAAGAAGCGATATTTATCGATGAAATGAATTCAATATGTGGCTATGTTGATTTTTGTAATGTATCATCTGCAGTTGATGAGCGTTTGTTTGTTTGTTGAACTAAGACAATATCAATAATATAGAAGACATTAATGGTGATATTGTAGTGATAAGGACAAAGATAACACCTACAATGGAATTATATTGGAACAGAAATGAAATTGGAGAAATGCATTTGATTATGAGTTCAGTAACACTTTATTGATCGAAATGAATTGCATTTACAAGAGTTGAATTATAATAATAAACATTTCCACTTTGTGCATTTCAAAAGGCTAAGATTTCAAAATGTCTTTGGGAGGTATACTGTTTCTGACGAACGTCGGCGGTTTACCCTAAGCATCGAAAGAGATGAGAGCGCTTTTCTGATTTTCGTGATAGTTTACAAATTGAAATAAACTTTGCACTGATCTTTCTTTCCGTTGCCAGTTTATTCTTTCCCTAACGCACATCGTCGACCGTATCATCAGTCACTGTGTTCGTTTTGGAAACCATACGGTAAGCGTGGTGAAAAACAGGACTGATATCGTAAACCGCAGAAATTTTTTGGTAGCTATTTATATGAAAGGGATTTTATCACACCAACGAAATCAAATAGAATACTTTCCGTCAGATAGACGACACTGATCATTTGATAGTATTCGCTGTTGGTTAGATGTAAAGTTATATTTTAATGAGTCGATGCATTCATATTACTACTATGTTTGTTGTTTTCGATATTAATGAGCTTTAAAATGATAGATGTGTGTATCTAGCAAGCGAGCAGGAAAGTACACTAATGAGTGTGCGGGTGTGTCGATGATGATAATGTTAGAAGAATACCGAAGAATGACTGAATATTTCATGAACAATAATCATAAACATGCCCTAATATCATTCAGTCGATCAGTATTCTGTCAGCCAGCGAACGAGCAGCAGCATTAGCCATCATCATCAACCTAACCACTTAACCATCATATCTATCTTGCACATATGATCATTATTATTATTATTATTATTCTCTTCGCATTTAGCATTCAGCTTAACATTTCAGATTTAGGATTTAGCTGATCATAGATTATATGTGTATGTATATATGTGTGTATTAGTGTGAGCGATAGCGAAAAGAATGAGTTGATTATTTGAGGCGAGAAGAGAAGAACGAGAAGGATAAATGGTGCGTGCTTTCATGGAAGTTTAGATGCTGCGTGACGACGCTGCTGCNGTAATGTATTCTGTTGTACTCTAAATTCTTGTCGTAATGGACATTGGAAAGGAATAATGGTAAGTGGTGAGTGACTTGAACAGATTACTGACTGGACGAACGAAACGATAATGGTAATGATGAGATGAAATATGGTTTGAGTAGGATGTGTATGCGTATATTTAGAACACTTTTAAAAATCATTTCTGAGTGGTATCGACCACGCGACGGCTGATTTTGTGTAATCAAGTTGTATATTGTGTTACAAAATTGCATTAGTAGAAAAGTACAAACCACTGAACGAGTTATGGATACTACATCGTTGTTGTTATTATTATTGATGTTGATGAAGAAAGATATTGACGTTTCTATTGCGGGATTTTAGAAATTCGTTTTTGGTTGATGAGGTAGTGGCTTTATCTTCATTTAAGTTATGCGAGCAGGAAGAAGAGGGAAGTAAGTTGAGTTGTAGTAGAATGCAGAAGGTGATTAGTATTTAACTAGGGGTGAGGAGTAGTTCTTAAGAGGAACGAAGAAGGGTATGTGATGGATCGATGGAGGGATGGATGAATGAACTGAACGTTGGAAGGAATTGAATTTTGTTTTATCGTGCGGCGTCATTTTGTATAAGGAAAACGAGAGAATAGGAACTTGTAATTGGTGATGTTTAAAGTGAAGTGTCTAAGATTGTAGGCAGATAGTTGTTAGCGATGCTCGGTCATGGTGTTCGTTGGAAAATGTCAATCAGCAGTTAACGAAATTTTGCATTTTTAGTGGAGTGGATAGATAGTGACTGACTGACTGACTGATTGACTGACATGGACGTGTAAGGTGAAGAAACGGCAAATGTGGTGATGAGTGTTTGAAAAGATGACTGCGAGGGATGTGGAGAAGTTACATTAGCACTTACTTATAATCAGTCGTTTTTGTAGCAGTTGGTATGGAATCGTTTAGTTGGTGTAGGGAAGTGTGCAAGAAAATGAAACTGTTAACGATGAGAAGGAGGTTTAGTATGAATGGGCATGTTGCGTTAAAAAGAGTTTCAGTTTATTTCGAAGTCAATGTCAAT